TACATGAATGTATTCAAAATCATAAAAATGTACAATTAAAATAGGTTAAGTGGTAAGTTTTATGGTATATTTAACTACCAAAAATTTTAAAGAAAAATAACACACTGGGTATATGCCTGTAATCCCAGCAGGACTGCAAGAGGATTGCAAATTTTGGGCTCAGCCCAGATAAACTAGACTTAGTAGGGCCCTTTCTCAAAATTTAAAATAAAAAAGGGCTAAGGATGTAGGTTAGTGCAAAGGGCTGGGGACATAGGTTCAATCCCCTAAATCAAAAGCATGTTTGCTGAGCATTGTGGTGCGTACCTGTAACCCTAGCATTCTGGGAGGCTGAGGCAGGAGGATTACAAGTTTAAGGTCGACCTCTCTCTCTGTCTGTGTGTCTTGTCTGTCTTTCTTTCTTTCTACTGGGGATTGAATTCATGACCTCACACTTACCAGACAGGTACTTATGCCACTAAGATAAATCCCCGGCCCGTAGGCAGTGGTTCTTAACAGGGGGTAATTATGACCCTTACTCAACTCCCAAGGACACTGGACAATGTCTAGGGATATTCTGAGGCTGTCACAACTGGGAAGTGGGGATGGAAGGAATGCTACTGGTATATACTGGATCTAAGCCAACAATACAGTTAGACCTGCAATGCACAAGATAACCTCTGCAACAAAGAGTTAACCAGCCCCAAACTGAAGTTGAGAAATTCTGGTTTTATTAAGTTGCTTGATTTATAAGCGAAACAGATCGTAAGTAAAAAATTTTCATTTTATTTCCTCTTTTCTCATTTCATGTATTTTGAAGAAATAATCAATGGTGATACTTCCCAGCTCTTCACACTAGCTGATCTTACCTATAGAGTCCATAGCCCAGAGCAAAGTGGAAAAGAGAGAAAGTAGGGCAGGAGCTGTGGTCAATGGCCTAAGGACAGAAGAGAATAAAGTAAAAGATCCAACTAAAGCCAGTGGAAAACAGTGCCTATACTTTCTGGATTCAACAGTTTTTCCTGATGGCTACAGGAAAGCTAAGACTTGGATAGACAAAACTCATTTAGAGAACTCTATGAGATTTATATGTTTTAGTAAATTATAACCTTATGGACAAGTTAAATAACACTTCTGTCTACAGGTCAGCATACTATTTATAAACTCAATGTATTATTTATGATTACCAAAACATGTATGTTTTCTGAGGAGCAATAACCTAATGAGTGAGTGCCTAATATCAGTAATAAGAATACTTTTGCTTTTATTCTCTTTTTTACATGCTATTAAAACAATGGACCTGATGTAGAAGTATAATTCATATGATATATTGTAGATGTTTTTGAGAAATTCATGAACATTTTCAGGCCTAGGCCATTAATTCATTACTACGGTACACATTAAAAATTTTTTTACATACATTTTGGACAATGCATACAAAAATTAAAAATAAACATACTCCATCACCCAGTAATTTAACAAGAATATATACATACACTCACCAAAAGATGCATGGAAGAATGCGCTTCACCACATTACTCAGCCCAGAAGAGAAATTTCTCAAATGCTCATCAATGGTAGAATGGATAATTTTGGATATACACTAAAAAATGGGTAAATGGAATGCTATAATATACAGCAACGAAAATGTAAGAACTACAAATACAAGCAACATCCCATGCTCTTGGGAAAGAAGAACCAATATAGTGGAAATGGCCATATTTCCAAACTGTTATATAGATTCAATGTAATCCCAATCAAAAATTCTAATAGCATATCTCACAAAATTAGAGAAAATAATCCTAAAATTCATCGGGAACCAGGAAAGACCTAGAATAGCAAAGGCAATCCTGGGGAACAAAGACAAGACAGGAGGCATCACAATCCTTAACTTGAAATTATACTCTAATTTCATGGTAAAAACAGTGTAGTACAGGAAAAAACAAAAAAACAAAACAAATAAAAAACCCCCAACAGACCCAAAGATCAATGGAACAGATACAAGATGCAGAAACAACGCCAGATATACTAAGCTACCTTATCTTTAACAAAGGTGCCAACACATTCACTGGAAGAAAGATAACCTCCTTAGTAAATGGTGCTGGAAAAACTGGCTCTACGCACGCTGAAGATTAAAACTGGACCCTTATCTTTCATCATGTTACTAAGCTACAATCAAACTGGACCAAAGATCTTAAGATTAAAATGGAAGATAGAGTAGGTAAAACTCTTGAAGACACTGGTGTAGGCAAAGACTTTATGAACGAAACCCAAATCACACGGAAACTATCACGAAGAATCAACAACTGGGATTTCACCTTATTAAAAAGCTTTTGAACAACAAGAGAAACCACCAACAGAGTAAAGAGATAGCTGATGATGTGGGGGAAAATGTTTTCCAGCTGTTCCTCAAAGGATTACTATCAAGAATATATAAAGAACTCAAAAAAAAAAAAAAAAAATCAGTCCTCCCGGATTTAAAGATCCAATCCAAAAATAAGCATCTGAGATGAATACATACTTCTCAGATAAAGAAATATAAATAGCAAATAAATACATGAAAAAATATTCCACATCACTGGTCATTTGAGAGATGCAAATTAAAACAACACTGAGATTCTACCTCATTCCAGAAAGATAGTAGCCATACTATCAAGAAATCAACCAGGCCAGGGATTTAGCTCAGCGGCATAAGCACCTGCCCAGCAAGTGCGAGGTTGTGAGTTCAATCCCCAGTACCACAAAAAAAAAAAAAAAAAAAAAGAGAAATCAACCAATAACAAATGCTGGAGGGGCTATGGGGGGAAAAAAGGAACACTTCTCCACTGCTGGAGGGAGTATAGACTGGTGCAATCACTGTGGAAATCTGTGCAGATTCCTCAGAAAACTAAGTGTGAGTTCAATTCCTGATACCCAAAAAGCAAACAAACAAACAAACAAAAACCTAGAATTGGAGATCCCATTCAATCCACTTATTTCCCTCTGGGTATCTTCCCAAAAGAATTAAAAACATCATACCATAGTGATACATGTATGCCCACGTTTAGAGCAGCACAGTTTAGAATAGCAAATCTTGAAAACAACGTAAATGCCCAACTAAGGAACAGATAAAAAGATGTAGATTTTTATACAATAGAGTACTACTCAGCCATAAAGAAGGATAAACTGGACACTTTTGTAGATAAATGGATACAACTTGAGACCATACTCAGTGAAATAAGACACACATGTGTAAACATCATAGTTTGAGTATGACAAGCTGAAAGAAAAAACATGTATATAATACTAGTTAAGATAGTTATACTATTGATTTCTGAGTTTACTGAAGAGAGATTTGTGCTGGTATTGTTCGGACAATTGAATACAGATGTCTTATGCTCTGAGTGAATGATTTGGGATGACAGTGTGCAATATATTGCCCCTAATAGACATGTTTTGAATTTGTTGTTTTTTCTTCTTTTATCCTTGAATAAAATGGATTTGAAATAAACAACAAAAAGCAAATACATGCAACAGTATGGTAAGGGCTTCCTTTGGTAGGTTAAATAATGACCTCCAAAGACATACATGCCCTAACACATAGAACTTGTATAAGTTACTGTATAATTGGAGAATTATTTTGGAATACCCAGAGGGGCTACAAATGTAAAGGCAAAGAAAGATCTGTACAAGAGATGGTGATGTAGTAACAAAAGCACTTTTTTTTTTTTTTTTTTTTTGGTTGTTTTCCTTTTTATCGGTACCCGGGATCGAACTCACGACTGCCTGCTTTACAAGGCAGACGCTTATGCTGCTGAGCTAAATCCCCAGCCCCTAAAAGCAAGTTTTTAACACAGCCTAAGTCCAGGAATACAGGAAGTCATTAGAAGTTGAAAAAAAGATGTCAGAACAGATTCTCTCCTTATGGCCTTTAGAAAGAACCAAACCTGCTAATACCTTGATTTTGGCCTAATGAAATTGATTTTTTTTTCCCCTTTTCTTTCTTTTTCCCTTTCCCCTTCCTAGATTCCCTCTCTATTTCAGATAGTACACTTTTTGGTCTTTATTTATACTTTCAGTTTCTCAAACCAGAGAAACAATGTACCATTTACAACAGTGTGTCCCATTTATTTCATTTAAAGAGTATGGTCTCATTGTGAAATAGGAAGGGGAGAAGGGAGACAGGAAAGAAGGGAAAAGAAAAAAAAAAACGAGAAAAGGAAAACATGGAAGTAAAGCTTTCGTAAATAGGGAGAGGAAGGGGAGTTGAAGGGAGAGGAGGGAAATGGGAGGAAAAAAAGAATTGAGGTAAAGCATATACAGGTACAAACTTCCTATGATAAATGTGATTATTATGTGTACCTAACATGTACCAGTTAACTTAATTTTTATATTTTTAAAATTTATTTAAAAATTTAAAAAACTGATTTTCAACTTGTGATTTCTAGCACTGTAAGAGAAAAGTCACTAAATTTTGTTATTAGAGAAGCAATAGTCACAAAAATAGTAAGTGAAAAAGTCTATTGTGTATGATTACATTTACATAGAATGAAAAATAAGGCAGACTTAATCCATGGTTTTAAGTGAGCATAGAAGTTACTTCTAGAGAAAAGGACAATGTTAAAAATAGGGACCAGTGAGATAATAATGCTTTCTTTTCCTGTAAATACTAGTGACATTTAATTTGTGCAAACCCTTATTTGTACACTGTTCTGTATGTATGGCATATGCAATTTTAAAAATTGATATTTTTCAAAACTTATCAATCATAGAATCTGGTAAAAAGATATACACTCAAGGGGGTAGGAGAAACCCTTTACTAAGCAATAACCCTTTCTCAAAAATCCAACGATTTTGCTTCTCCAAAATACTTAAAATTTTCAATGACTGGCAACATTTAATAGAGACTTTTTAAATGCTAAAATTAAAACATTTCTTAAAGGAGAAAGGCAGAAAAATCAAAATATTCTTTGGGTCTAACATCTTGAAACTAGTAAGAATGGTAAAAGAAATCTCCTTATGGATCATAAACATAAAAACAATTTATAAAACACATCAGAATTTTATTGCTTCAAGAATACAGCATATGAAATCACAAGAATGTCAAAATGAAAAGTCACTAGGTTTCAAACATATAATACATTATCAGATGCAGTAAAACATTAACCTGAACTCTGCATCAGAAAGAAAAAGGTATGGAAAAATACCTAAGTTATTTACTTGAGAAATAGATACATGTAAAATAGAAAGTATAAGGATGTTACAGTACAAATTAGTAAAGCCAACACTTATTATTTCCCTAGACTAGACTACCTTTGGTACTTTACTTTTTAAAAAACAATTCCTTCCAAATACACTTTATGGGTATAATATCCATGAAGTAAGTTCAACTGAATATTCATCAAAATTACTAACCTCATTATGTGGGCGAAGTGTATTTGATAAATATATAACACTATTCCCCTTTTTCTAAAACTGTAAAATATAATCATTAACATATCTAATACTTATAAATTTTACTTATTTAGTTCTTCAATTAAAATTGGAATCCTTGCAACTAGAATCTATTTTGGGGCTTGGTAAATATAGAAATGTAAATGATTTGGCAACTGACATAAGAATTTAATTAACTTTATATCATGTTAATTGGCTTTACTTTGTGTTCCCCAAATACAAACAATATGCAATTTCTCTATATACTAGATTCCTATAACAATCACTATCATTCTTTATTTATTGGAACCAAATTAAAGCTTCTCCCTTTTAATAAGCAGGTTGAAACTATCTGTTTCAAATAGGGGTGATACATTATGACACACTTCCTTCAACAAAACCCAACTTTTTTTAAAGCTATCATTCAATTATGATGAAGAAGACAATGATACCATTTCAAAAGGTAGCAGTGGATTCTAGGCCATCTAGTCAAGAAAATGTAAATGTAACGCTGAAAGCAAACAAGTAAACTACAGCTATAAGTTAAATTAAAAAAAAAAAAAAGGAGGGGGACCCTCTTTCATAGCAAGCATGCTCATTAGCTTTCATTTCCTTTCCCTGGCAAAGGTCTGAATATTTATAAACCTTGGTTAAACCAATGGAACCCAAGTAATTGTTTAGCAAGTTCCAATTATGTATCTGAATAATATAAACATGGATGGATTAAAGAAGTAATAATATTCTGAACTGGAGTGAAATAGATTCATGACAGTCTCAAAATTGGGCAGTCTTTGAAATGTAATAGCTTAGCTCAAGATAAATTATGCTGTAATAAAACTAGTTTTTACCTCTACACAAAGCAAAATTAAAAAATAACAGCAAATTTATACAACTACTACCGAACACACTTTCTAGTTTTTAAATGTCTTATTCTGAAGTTCCTCTAAACAAGTATATGTATCTGAGTATATATATATATATTCATTGTCTGTATATATACTCTTTTTAAAACACAAAAAATTCAGATACTATAGAACTGAACTCTTTTTTTTTAACCAATCTGATCCAATGTATTCTGCCTCATACCACACCAAACCTCAATTTAAAATTCCCAATTTTTGTTTAGTTAAAAGGACAGAGCAGTTGCAAATACAGATTAAGAGCTTTTATATAAATTTCACTGTATTTTTATGAACCTGAAGCTTTCTTTAACACTGTTTACTGATCAAATAAAGGGCTCATTGCTATCTAAAATTTCATAAACACTTTTAAAAATTCAAAATTATTATATTGAGCCTTAAATTTCCAACAGTTCAAAGAGACAGTTTTTATACGTATAGCACATAACAGATGAAACTTAACAGCAGACATCCTTAGAATATCAATGGTAAGTCCACAAAGATGCATACAAAATTACAGATAAGCATTTTCTTCACTGTTTGTTGTACAAGAAAAAACATTTATAGAGGAAACAGAAACTCAGCTGGTGAATTTCAGATATCATCTTCATCTTCTTCATCTTGAGAAGATCCTGCCTGATTAGATGCACTAGCTGAGGCAGCAGCAAGCTGTGCTTGTTGGGCAGCTTGCTGCATTTGAAGCCATTCCTGTTGGGCCAATTCTGCTTGTTGCTGTCTAGCCTAAACATCAAAAACATAAAAGCAAATAATATTTTTTTAAAACCAAGCATATATATTTTAGCTAAATGTATATAAGCCAAATAACAGACAGTTGTTAATAAACATGGATATTTTCCAACTATTATATAATTGTGGTTTATCTAGAAAACAAAAATTCTATGATCTTTTGTTCTAGTGAAGAAGTTAAAAATGCTTTACTGTGTTTTATGTTTCGAAGATAGGGTCTCAAAGTATATTTTAGGTTGGCATTGAACTCACTATGTGTTACCCAGGCTGGTCTCAAACTCCAGATTATCCTCTGCCTTAGTTTGGAATTATAGGCATAAGCCAACAAACCCAGCTAACAAGCTGAAAATGTTAACAGAAAAAAAAATACAAGAATTTTGGCTCCTTCCTGTTTTTCTCTCTTCCTTTTGTTTCACTTAATTCTTTTGCCACCTCAAATTATAGTGAAAATGCTTCCCAAATGTATACCATACTTTCTCACCTTTGTTACCTTTACTATTGCAAATATTCATTCATTTGAAATTTCCTGATTTTCACCTAATGAAATTGTACCTGTTTTCCAAGTCAAACTAAAATATTATTTCTTCCTTCCTGTATTAGTGAAGATATAAATAACCAAGAAACAGACAGAAATCACACTACTTTGAAAACAGAAAAACTTTAAGTGTTAAAGTAAAAGATAGTAACAGGCAACTAAAAGACAGAAAACAGGGCTGGGGATTTAGCTCAGCGGCATAAGCGCCTGCCTTGCGAAGTGCACGGCTGTGAGTTTGGTGCCTGGTACTGATTAAAAAAAAAGACGGGAAACAGAAAATTAAGGTATCATGGAAGTAGTAACAGCAGGGAGCAGTCACCAACTCTAAAACTGGGTGATCAAATGACAAAGCTGGAATCTTTAAAACTTAAATGTAAAGTAACAACCACATGGAACTGAAACTCAGACCTCTGAAGAAAGAGCATAAGTTACCTGCTGCTAACGTATCTGAGCTTGGAGCAGGAATCAATACTCCTAAAGAGGAAGGTACAAGATCATGCTGGTTCTCTAAGTGTCAGAGAAAATGTAGACTGGACTCAGTTCCTTACAAAACAAACTGATGCAGCCAGGGTAAAGAAGTGTTCCTGGGTTTGCTCAAAGTAAATGGAAGTCAACAGGAAGTAAAAGAAGCAAGCCCATTTATGTGCCCTAGTCTTGCTAACTCCCTCTGAAATCCTCTGCTGACATCATAGTCTAATAAAGAGCTAGCAAGAGGTGATTGGCAGTATAAACTACCCTATATATATATAGTAGCCCTTCCTCACATGCCAATTTACTTTCTGAAGTTTTAGGTACTCACATAGTCAATCAAAATATGTAAAATTCCAGAAGTAAATGAATTTTAAATTGTATGCTTGAGCAGCATGATGAAAGCTCACATGGTCCATGTTATATATGACCTACTAATTAATCACTGAGCAGATGTCTTGGTTATCAGATCAACAGACATAGTACTATAGTTTTTGTGTGTAGGCTTTGGATGGTTTCAGCTATTTACTTGTATGTTTGGTAATGGTGGTAGGGTAATATATGAGATCTAGTCACAAAGTAGAGCATAGAATGCTGAATTTTGGGTTAAGACAATGCTCAGTAGCTGAACTTTTATATCCCCAAAATATTAAGTGACCTCTTTTACACATTTTTTCCTTCTCATGGAAGTTAGCCTCATATGACAGTTATCTTCTTCATTAAAGTACTCAGCCAATGTTATAGTTGCTACTGTATCTACTATACCTTTCCTACCAAGCACTAAGTTTCTTAAGAACAAGAATGATACAGTACTTTCATCTCTGTACATCTGTAGCACCATACACAGCTTCTTATATATAGTGGGGACTCACGTGTTAATTGAATTTTTACAAATATTGAGTACAGGAATTAGTAGTTTTTAGTGAAGGTGATAGTAATGAAGCAGAAGATGAAACTAAATGTAATTGCCTCGGGGAAGACTATCCAAGCAGTATTACTTACAGGCTAATAAAAGAAGAGGTCTGCATTATTTTTTTTAAATACTGAAAAGAAAAACGAACACTGAAGAAAAGTCCCAGAACTTGGTGATTAGATGTCTCTGTGGTAAAACAGAGGTCAAATCATAAGAAGTAAATGGCATAAATTTTAAAAGATATAACATTACACAAAAAAAAAAAAAAAAGGAAGAGAGACATGGTTACAGGCAGAGGAAAAAGTGACTCAGGAAAAGACTAAACGTATTAGAAAAAAAAACTAAAAAAGAAAAAAAATTTTTTACAATAAACCAAAATATCCTATTGCTTTGAAAATTAGAATGTATTCTCTTTAATAACCGTTTTCACCTCTCTTTATAAAGAAAATGGACACAATTCTAATACACTGCCAACTTACTTCTATGTCAGGAATATATCAAAAGAGCTCAAAAAAGGCTAAGTGTTTTATTTTTATTTATTTTTTGACTAAGTGTTTTATTAAAGACAGTTTAAATGTCAGAGTAAATAAAACATGAGGATTTAATCTACAATTTTGTGACAAAAAATTCAAATAATTTCAAGTCTCTACAAAGGTTTTACTGCAAATGTGCTTCATCTTAACAGTTTATTTAATGGTCTGCAGAGGCATGCAAATTTAGATGCATCCAAATTTAACTGACTTAAATAGTAAGGTCTCATCAGCTTTTATGAGATGTGATAAAAAAACAAATATTTACTTTTTTTTAAAGGATATTATGGTAAAATACATACGGGCATTAATTAACCCCCGAATAGTCCCCCTACTTTGAACACATTCATACCAACATTCTTGTTGCTTTCTGAAACAGTATTGAAAGTCTTCCTTTTGTTCTTTAGTTGCACTGTTATGACTGTCTTGATGCCTTGAATTAATTCAAAACATTTACTTTTCATGGTCCTTTTGACTTTAGAGAGCAGCTAGAAGTCACACGGTGCCAGATCCAGTCAATAAGGTACAATCAACAACATATAACACTTGAGCCTGTCTTCCATTGGATGGAAGAATATTGAGAAGCAACATTCACCATATTTTTTATCATACCTTACAAAGACATTCATGAAAGATAACTTCCATTTTTAAAATTTACACATGCATTTTTTTTTTTTTTTACCAGTACCAGGGATTGAACTTGCGACCATGCACTTACAAGGCAGGCTCTTATGCCACTGAGCTAAAAAATCTCCAGCCCCCTACACATGTATTATTTTCTGATCAACTCTTGCATACTTTTCTCTCTGAATGTAAAAGCATTCTTGTCCTTTTAAAAATTATTGTTGAGTCAGGTGTGGTAACACATGCCTATTATCCCTATGCTTGGGAGGCCAAGGCAGGAGAATCACTGTTGAGTTCAGTTCAAGGCCACTTGGGCTACATAGTGAGTTCAAGGCCTGCCTGAACTACATATACTGAGACTCTGTCTCAAAAAAAAAAAGCAAAATAAAAAAACTAAAAGTCACTGTTGACTAACACAATTTGTAATCATTTCTATAAATTAAAATTTTCAGTGGTGTTTAATCTCATTTTTCATCTTTCCTTCTAACCCAACCTATCCAAGGCCCTTTTCTTCTAAAACAAGCAGGAGTCAGACATGGTGATACACACCTGTAATCCCAGCCAGCATTTGGGAGATTGAGGCAGGAGGATGGCTGCAAGTTTATGGCCAGCCTGGGCTACCCAGTGAGTACAAAACTACATAGCCAGACCCTGTAGCAAAAAACCAAGTAGCGAAACAACCAAATGAATGAATGAATGAAGGATGATAGAGGTAAATATGCATATACTTCCTAATTCACTTTTGGGAATTTTCATTTTTTAATTTTTATTAGCATGTTGCAGTATATAATGATTACATTCATTGTGGGAAGTTGGCAAATGTACATAACACATCTTAGTTCTTTTTCATTATGTTTCAAGGTTCTTACTCCTGCATAATAAAATGACTCATTTATAATTTATAGTTAACATTAAATTGATGTATTAAAGCCTTCTCCTTTTCAAATATTTGCCTCTAGCTTCAAATGAGACTATCACTGTTTGTATTTGAAATAAAGTCTGAAAATGAAACAAAATGATTTTAAAACAAGTGGCATAAGCGCCTGCCTTGGAAGCAGGCAGTCGTGAGTTCGATCTCTGGTACCGATTAAAAGAAAAAAGACAAAAAAAAACCAAAAAACAAAAAACAAGATACTTATTGATTCCTTTTATACTAACAACTTATTTTGTGCTCTTAGGAAGAAATGTAAGGCAGCTGCTACAATTTTACTTCTTTCTGATCTTCCCCACAAAAGAAAGAAATACTAGGGATTCTTCTCCTATAGGCCAGGATAAAAAAGCAAAGAGATTAAGAAGAAGAATTAAAATCCCAAAAGGTGAGGATAGAGAGGTGAAGGCAGATATGACAAGGTGCCTGGTATATTTTGGCCCTATTTTTAAAAATTCCATGGTAAATATAAGCAAAAAGTGTTTGGCACAGTATTAGTATTGTTAGAATACAGATTTGGCTGGCCCTGAATCAAGGCCAGCAGCTTCCTGACACTGTTGGTTTCAAGCAGGAGCCTCAAGAGATGTCTTTCTATGGTCTGCTGGCCATTTCAGAACCTGCACAGTGAAATGGTCAATTCATTAAAAAGAAACAGCTTGAAACAACCTCTCCCCGCCATGAGTGGCTGTGAGCGTGACAGGCTGCGGTAGCCCAGGACAGGAGCCACCAGCATTTACTGAGACTCACCGGCATTTACTGGGACCCACGCCATGCTGGGACCTGGAGTGCCGGGAAACCAAGCAAACCTCCCCCCACACACTGCGGCTGTGAGTGTGGCAAGCTCTAGTGGCCCAGGACAGGACCCATGCCATGCTGGGGCATGGAACTCCAGGCAACCAAGCACTTCTTCCCCTCCTGCCTGTTTCGTTTTGTTGAACTTCAATATACATGAAAGTATGGATAGCCATTTTGAAGAGAAGGAGAGACTCTATGACAGCCATTAGTGACTTCTTTATTGTCTGGTTTTGAAGACCTAAAACGCCTTCCTCATTCTTTTTGGATCAGTTTTATACTATGTTGTTTTGTGTGAATTCTCTGTATGTGAAGACATGGACAACTATTTTGAAGAAAACAAGAGATAATATGATAGAGAAGATCTCAGGTCGTCTAGCTTTGAAATTTATATCTCTTACATTGTTTCTTATGTCCTATTTTTGTTCTGTTCTGTTTAATTTTACCTCCTTTAAAAAAAAAATACAGATTTGGGAAAAAAAAGCAAGACTTTAAATACAAGTCTTAACACTTCCCAAACTGTCTAACCTTACCTATTTTATGTAAGTCAATTTTTCCCAGTAGACCATATTCTATAATAATTGAGACCATGTCTCCCCCTGCCCTCTTTGTGTATGTGTGTTCCAAACCCAGAGCCTTACACATAGTGGGCAAGTATTCTACCACTGAGGTATGCACTAGCCCTTTTTAAAAGATTTTTATTTTTGAGACAGGGTCTCTTTAAGTTAACCAGACTCATCTTAAACTTGTGCTCCTCTTGCCTCAGCCTTGTGAACAGCTAGAATTATAGGTGTGTGCCACCATACCTGACACCATGCCTTTTTTGTTGATTGTAGTAAACCTAGCACTTTGCACAATGCCTGATAAACAGGGAAAACTTCAATAAATATCTAAAGGAAATAAATTATTTCATGCAAGCTTTTTTCACCTGAGTATCTTTCTTAAATAGACATAACACATATACTATTTAATAAAATTTTGCAAGGTATATGAAATATTTAGCAGAGTACTTTCTATCATCATATACAGTGGCATCTTTGTTCTTGAACTTGATTTTTTTCCATAATTCTGGCTGCACATTGAATTGGATGAGAACAGAACCAAATTCAAAGGTGAGGTTTAATGCTGATTTTTTAAAAATTTGATTCAGTTCTCATCCAGTTCAGTGTACAACCAGAATCGTGGACATAATTAAGGCTGTGAACCAAAGTACCACTGTATTTAATTTGGTACCCTCTAGGTAATCTGTGATAGCAAAGAATAAAAATAAATAACAGCCATTAGTGTTTTTTAAAAATATCACTTTTTCTTTGATATCTTATATGTATTATAATACAGATACAACACTATTTGCATGTGTTCGTGAAAACCTCAAAGTTTTTTCTCTGTACTATCTCATGGGTTCTTAGAGTACATGAACTAATACAGGTAAATTACTTGGCAATGTAATTAACAAATTCAGAACTCAATGAATATTGGTAAGCTATATTTTTCTGATTATTTTAAATGATACTTTTAATTGTGTCTAGGACCTATTAAGACCCAAATGCTAACTATAGTAACTGTTACGACTGCAGGGAAATCAGCTATAATGCTGATTTGGAAGAGTATGTCTAAAATGATACTATTTAGTTATAATGAGTACTCTAGTAACTGGGGGGGAAATTAATTTCTGTTCAACTTAAACTTTCAAATAAGAGACTAAAACTCAGCAGGAAAAAAGCCAACCTTGCCACCTCTCTCCGCATTTTCTTAAAACAGACGGATATTATTATTGGTGCTATCTCTCATAGACTAGGTCCATGACAGTGAACCTTTTGGAGCTTTCAATGATACAAACAGCCCACTGCAGGACACATGCATTTGCTGCCATTGGATTAGATGTTAGAGATATAATAAGCAAGACAGAAGAAGAAAAATTTTCACCCTTTCTTTCTTCAATTGGGCCTTCAAAAATTAGAATATTTTAAAGATATATAGAAGAATCAATTAAGCTACAAATTAGATATCAGATTTTCTTTGTGCATTATTCATTATAAAATTCAATAGTCTTTTCTTCTTAGCCCATCGCATAAATTTTAAGGATATTTAGGCCCCCTTTCCTTTTCTTTTGTTCATTCTCTCACTCATTTGTGGTACTGGAAATTGAACAAAAGCTAAGCTACATCTTCAGCCCTTTTTTCATTTTGAGATAGGGTCTTGCTAAGTTACCCAGGCTAGGCAGGATCCTCCTGTCTCAGCCTCCCAAGAGCTGAGATTAAAGCATGTACCACCACCTTTCATGCTATTAAGTTGTCATTCTGCCTGAAAAACAATCAAATAAAAACTTAACAGTTTTTCAGAGTTGCTTTCCTTAGAAAACAGGTTGCTGCAAATACTTATTTTTATATATATCACAGTCAAACTGGCCAGCTCTAAGTAACAGACTATAATCAAGCAATCACTGAGAGAAAAAGAACTCTTTCCATATATTATGTTGAAATTTAGGAAGTAATTTTAGATACCTGCATGGTTTCTATTAGAAAAAAAAGGAAAGATTCAGATAAAAATAATTTAAAATGTATGACTTACTTTTGCAAATAATTCCTGTTGCTGTCTCAATAACTCTTCTTCAGGAATGCCAAGGTTTTCCAAACGAGAATTGGCCTTTCTTCTTTTTAATGCTACCGTCTTGCATTCTTGTAAGACTTCTTTTACTTCACTGATGTAAGAGCCAAAGCCCAAACTTTCTAGTGCTAGAGAAATAAAAACATAAAAGGGTAATAAAATGTGGCTTCTCCCCTGACTACAAAACATGACGGTTTTGCAGTGTTATTTTCCTGGGAGGGAAGGGACGTTTTCTAAAAACTTTGCCTATTTTACAACTGTCTGAGACAAAATGTTTTTACCAACTTTTTTAATGTAAGAATGAAAATTAGTTAAAACTTACAGAACATTTCAAGGCAAAGTCTTCATTTTTCATTTTAATTTTTTTGTAAGATCAAAGCACTTCCTATGGTGGGGAGAGATTCAATTTAATAACATGTAGTTTTAGTAAAAAAAAAAATTTTTTTTTACCTAGCACTCATAGTAAGTCATATCATTAAAAGCCAGTCATTTTCTTAAAAGAAAACAGAAAGGAAGAAGAAGAAGAAAAAAAAAGAACACAGAAAGGTAAATATTTGGAGTATCTTTGTTAACAATACTTTGTGCCACTTGTCTTAGAAAAAGTGGGCTAATAAAACATCCCCTACTGTTGCAAAGTGGGCTAATAAAACATGCCCTACTGTTGCAAAGTAGATAGGATGAAAGAACAGGTATAATTTTCTTTTGTCCAATATACAACAGAAGCTATTTTTAGCAAAGGAACTCAAACTGCCAAGTTTAAAAACTACCAGTATAGGTTAATAATAGTGCATAACTCAGGGGTAGAATAGTTGCCTAGTACACATAAAGCTCTGGATTTGCTCTCTGGTACCACAAAAACAAACTGGTGAAAATAACTCATAAAAATAGCACTTATACTCTGCCAACAAGTTTTCTTTGACTATAAAACTTAACAAAAACAACACAAATGGTGTGACTACAGAAATCTGTAAGGACAAATTGTATTAAGTACAGAAGACTATAAAGCTAGATATATTAATAAAAAATTCTCTCCTTTTATTTTTCACATCTAGAAAGAAAATTTCACAACAAAGGTAATCCTTTAAATTGAAGCTCTTTTTGGTACTGGAGATTTAATTCCGGTCTTGCACATGCTAGAAAAATACTCTACCACTGAGCTACTTCTCCAGCAACACAATACACGCTCTAAGTGACCTTTGTAATCGGAAAAGACAAGCCATAAAGGTTCCTTTTCATTCACAGTATTCAACACTATATTTTATAGTTTTCTACATACTGCCTCACACCTTAAAGGTATGTTCTATAATCTAATGATAAAATTTAGGTGGTTAAAAATAGGGTAAATCAATATAGCTCAGCAGTTCTTATTTCAACAACTGTAATGAACCAAAAAGATGCTCTCAAATTCTAACTGTAGCAATTTGCTTTTCAAGGAAATCACCATATGTACCCTTAGACATCCATTTCTCATTTAAATTATGATTTTTTAAGATACTGTGAATGATTCATAACTATTTCGTATACTATGCTGTTTTTATCAATGTTGTGAAGGTATAATCTGATGCAAAAAGCAGATTACTGTTTATTAATGTGAATTTTAATTAACTTAGCCTTCCCATAACACACTCTACCTGAAAATCTCAAAAAGACATTCTGTATATCACATTCACCGTCACATAATTCTTGACTTCAAGGAGCAGTGGAAAAAATAAGTGAGTAGGTGGCTTATACTTTTCACTTAAACTGACAAATTTTTTTTTTTTTTTTGTCTTTACCGGTACCATGGATCAAACTCACGACTGCCTGCTTGCAAGGCAGGCACTTATGCCGCTGAGCTAAATCCCCAGCCCCTGAACTGACATTTTTAAAAAATGTCAATTATAAAAGCCAAAACTTTTGTTTTAGCCTGTCTCTGTCTCTGTCTCTGTCTGTCTGTCTTCTTTTTAGATAAGGTCTATGTTGTTCAGACTGGCCTTGAACTCACTTTGTTGCCCAAAGCTGGCCCCAAACTCACAGGGATCTTCCTGTCTCAGCCCACTAACTATTGGGATTATAGGCATACACCACCACCAGGTTTATTTTTTCTCTTTTTGAGGATATAAACATAATAAGAGTATTAAGAAACCATACTGGGGGCTGGGGATTTAGCTCAGCGGCATAAGTGCCTGCCTTGCAAGCAGGCAGTTGTGAGTTCGATTCCTGGTACCGATAAAAAGGAAAAAGACAAAAAAAAAAAAAAAAAAAAAAGAAACCATACTAAAGGAAATTAAGTGAAAGCTTACAGTTTCCTAATACATTCTAAAGAAAGTCTGGCCAGACATGGTGGCACATGACTATAAATCCCAGTACTTGGGAGGCTGAGGCAGAAGAACTGCCAACCCGGGCTACACAGTAAGTTTAAGGCTAGTCTGAACTAACAGTGAGACCCTGTCTCAAAAAACAAAAAAACCAAAGTTTGATTTCCCTAGTCCAGGATATAGGACCCCCCACCCTAGCTCTGTACCCTTGGAGCTTTATTTCTAACATTAAATCTCTGCATACTTCTGCTATACGTTTGACCACTTGGTATTTCTTAACAAAAACCACAGCTTCCCACACTCAATGGTGCTAGCTGTGCAATGAAAGAAAAGATCAAGTCACATCTTCAAATTAAGCTTGTTCAATCCTTCCAGACATAATCTCTCCCTTTTGAAATTAAATAGACCTAGAACTGAAACTTAGTTGATAGTATCTGTACAATGTGGGATATGTTGCTTAATATTGCTAATCTTCAGTTTTTCAATGTATAGACTAAGAATAGCAACTATTTCATAATAACATGCTGCATTCTATTTGAGGCAACATAGTGTGCACAATGAAGTGGTACAAGCAGTACAGTGAGTAACCTAAATTCAAATTTTATAACTGACTCCTAAGTCTACCTTGTACTTGCTGTGACTCTGAATTCCTTCAATTCTGCGTCTCAGTTTACTCACCTTTAAAAAGAACAAAACAGTACCTATCTCTTAAGAATAAATGAATATAAAAAGTTTAGAATAGAGACTGGCCCCACAGAGGAAACAAAATTAAATGCATGTGTTTACAATGTTAGGGCTTGTAGGAACCAACAATTAATACTGACTTTGTTTTTCTTTTTGAGACAGAGTCTCACTATATATAGTTCAGGCTGGCTTTAAGCTCCTTTTGTAGCCCAAGTTGGTTTAGAACTCACAATGAACCTTCTGCCTCAGCCTCCTGAATGCTTGGATTACAGGTATGCACCACAATGGCCAGCTTAATACAGTCTTTTAACATCTAAGAATCACCTAATCAACTTGGAATGTTTCTTACCTTTTTCTCTTAAATGTAAAAGAGCAGCCTAAAAAGTATACAAAACCTTACCAGTTATATGACATTACATTTAAATTGAAGTATATTTATAAAATTTTAAATTTATAAAATTAACAAATCAAGCCAACAGAGAATCCTTCAAAGTGGTATGAATTATTAGACGCAAAGAAAATACAAGGTCCAAGAATTTTTTCTTTCTTGTTTGCCTTGCAGGATTAAACAACAGCTACCAACTACTGAAATAAAACTTTATAAAGTTTTATGTCCACCAAAAGATGGTTAAGAGAGATACAGAGAAAGTGAGCAAGAACAGAGATAGAGACCGAAAGAGAGAGAGAGACACAGACCAACCAAATTAATGCTCAACCATGGAGGGCCTGCGTTAAAAATTTAAAAGCATGCCAGACTTGGAAGGGTGACACACTGACTATAATTCTAGCTACTCAAGAGATTCAAGACAAGAGGATCACAAATTTGAGGCCAGCTTAGGTATTTAAGATTTCTTTTTTTTTTTTTTTTTCATTTTTATCATTACCAGGGATCGAACTCACGACAGCCTGCTTGCAAGGCAGGTGCTTATGCCACGGAGCTAAATCCCCAACCCCCAGCTTAGGTAATTTAGTGAGATCCTGTTTCACAATACAAAAAAAAAAAAAAAAAAAATCACACTTAAGAGTCAAAACATTGCTCTAAAAAATGTGTAAGTCTAAAGTTAATACTAAAAATAAATAAATAAATAAATAAAATAAAATAAATTTTAAAAAGTAGCTCAGCGGCATAAGTGCCTGCCTTGCAAGCAGGCAGTTGTGAGTTCAATCCCTGGCACCGATAAAAAATAAATAAATAAGTAAATAAAGTTAATACTTAACATTATTAAGTATTAAAAGCTGCTATATAATATAGTATTCCCAATTATATAATACTGTATTCCCAACAGAAGTGATCATAATTTAATTTCACAAATGCAGTGACTTTAACCTGAAGTATAAACACATTTTAACTAACAGATATAAAAAAAAAGACACAGCTGAGGATTTTGACTCAGCGGCATAAGCACCTGTTGGGCAAAGCATGAGGTCATGAGTTTGATCCCCTGTACCAAAACAAAACACCTAGATGCAGCATCTTTTAAACGGAAACATTTTACATCATTGGTAGTCACTGCCATTTTACTCAAAGAAGAAATTAAAAAGATATGGGAATTGGCTCCTAAGCAGGACCAAAATTTGACTTAAGGCTCTGCTGGTTGTTTAGTATCCAGTAGTATCATACCTAAAGAGGGCTATTTGTACTGTAAACATCATAAAAATGTGTATTATGCCACTTTTTCTGGTAGATGGTAGTAAAGTGTTTTGAGAAAGGAATGACTTTTTCTAGTTGGCTAAGTGGCTAAAGTGCCCAGGCTGGGTCAACATTTGTTTTCCTGCCTCAGCCTCTTAGAATCCTGAGATTTAAAAGGTATGTGCCACCACACCCAGTTCAAAGGTTGGTCTTATTTTACAAGAGTAATATGTTCCTTGCAAAGTTTTGTTATAACATGAATTTCTGTGACTGACCATACATCAAATGAATTAAATATTTTTTCATTTAAAAAACAATGAAAAAAAAAAAAGCAATGAAAAAAAAAAAAAAGATTAGCAATGAGCCAGGCATGGGGAAGGCTGAGGCAGAAGTTCAAGACCCTCCTGGGCAATTTATTGAGATCCGCTCTCAAAATAAAAAAGTCACTGCTTATAACTGGCTGCAATGGGTTAAGAATAAAAATCCAATTGAGTTCAATCCCCAGTACCATAAGTAAATAAATATCCAAAGCAAGCATTTAAGAACCTTTATAACAATTTGACAGTAATTTTATGTACATTGAACTGGATTTTTTACATTTTGCTTTTAAGTGACCCCTTTTTATTTTATTTTACAGGTGTGACAGAGATCGGACTTAAAAAGAAACAAATAAAACTGCCTGAACACAGACAGCTTAGAATCACTCAATGACTTTCTCAAACTTTCTTTACTTCATTTTTGTTTTTAAGAGACAGAAACTCACTAGATTAATTCAGGCTGGTCTTGAACTTGCAGCTGCAAACCTTGGCCCCAATTTCCCAAGTGCTGGGATTACAGGCATGCACTACCATGCACTGCTTGTTTATTAGTCTTGTAAAAAATGGTAGCAAGGGCTGTGGATTTAGCTCAGTGGCACAAGCGCTTAACTGGCAAGCAAGAGGTCATGAGTTCGATCTCTGGTACCAAAAAAGAAAGGAAAAAAAAAGGTAGCAATCTGGGCATAGCAACACACACCTGTAATCTCAAACGCTTGGGAGACTGAAGCAGGAGGATCATTTTGAGTTCCAAGCCAGCCTAGAGCTACATAGTGAATAGCAACCTGAATTACAGAGTAAGCCCGTAACTCAAAAATAAAACAAAATAGTAAAATATAAAAAATGGTAGCAAGAGATAAAAACCTAAGAAGATGTCATTTAAAATATTTTTGTTTTTAATTCTGGCTGTGCACATGGCACCATGACATGAAACAGACCTTTAGCTTTGTATTTTTATCAGTACAATTTCAAGCTTTGAAAATTAGTATTTATTGTAGCATATTTTATTTAAGACAGAATTTCAGTTCTTAAATGATTCTCAAAACTTGTAAATTATACCTGGAATCAAATATTACTTATAAATAAAGAGTTTAGTTAACATATTTGCCTAAGACCAAAGAATTTCCAGAACAGAATTTACAACTTTTGAGTCTCAAAGTGAGTTCTTTCCATAACATAAAACAGGTTAGAACTCATTCAAAAATACACGTTCACTAAAACACTAATGAAATAAAAACAAACACCTTTAATAGCTTAAAATTCCATGTATTCATGTATCTGTGATTCTTAAAACCACACATATTTTCTTAAAATAAGCAAACCAAGAGGGGAAAAGCTTTTTTTTTTTTTAAACTCAGTTATAGTGTTATTCCCTCACAGTAAAGTTATTCAGCTTTGCATTTTATAGAACTGCTTCAGAATGCTTAATTTGCTCTGACATGTTAAATCAGGTAGGTAGCAAGTCAGATGTGCTAATGCAAAGCCTAGTTAATTTAACTTAATACAAAAAACCTACACTTCAGTATAGAATCATATTACTTTAAAAAGTACATTATTAACAAAACAAACAAAATGTATATTATTATTCCACTTGGATATAACCTATATTCCTAAATTAATGCTGACAGGAAAATATATGAAGGGTTATATATACTATGATTGTCCTACTTTCTGAGTTACTCTGTAAGGACATACTTTATACACCTTTAACTTTCTTCTAAAAAAAAATTTAACTTCTCAAAAGAAAACTTTAAAATGATTAGTACTAGATTGTATATAAAATCTCCCCCACTGCAGTGAAATTACACATTCTTACTTAATAACAGTAATGTTATATTTTTTAAACATAGATAAATTATAGGGCAACACAATTTTTTAAAGTTAATAGACTGTCTTCATTACACAAAAGAAAATCCTCTTTCACTGTAACTTTCTGACTCATACACTAAACTGAATTTAGCATATCCCAAAGTTAAACTATTTAGCATACTGCTTGCTACAGCTGCACTTTTATTCCACCATGTCAATCAGAAATCTAAATATAACCTAGAAAATAAACTCTCCCCACCAAGACAGACTGTAATGTTACTAGGTTTTTGAACAATCTTGTTTCTGTAGTATAAATAATCCAATGATGGCGAACATTTGGGCTTTCAATGATTCCATGACACAAACAGTCCTGCAGCACATGTGCCACAGGTTCACCACCACGGTTCGGCCAAAGCCTGTCAAAATCTGCAGTTCTCATTAAAAAAGAAAGGTTAGTAAATGGACTTTTTTCTTTTTTGAGTTGTAAAAAGAAATTACAACTATATGTGTTGGATAAATTTTTTTTTTTTCTTTTTCCTTTTTATCGGTACCGGAGATCGAACTCACGACTGCCTGCTTGCAAGGCAGGCGCTTATGCCGCTGAGCTAAATCTCCAGCCCCTGTTGGATAAATTTTAAAAAAGAAATTAATGCTGTTTATGTTGTGGAAGACTTATGATGACAACCACATATATAATGTAAAAACAAAACACAGAATAAAAAATAAACAACTTGGGTTTCACTTTACTTTCAATTCAGCACACCAAAGAAGTAGGGTTTCAATATCACTTTAAGAATCAAAGGCATGGTGGTACACACTTAAAATCTCAGCAGCTGGGCGGCTAAGGAGGTGGATCATTTTGAGTTCAAGGCCAGCCTCAGCTGTGTAGTGAGTTCAAGTTAGCCTTAACTAGATAGTGAGACTGTCTCAAAAAACAAAACAAAAAGAATCAAATACGCCTTTTCTTAGGGTTTTTTCCTCCTCTGTACTGAAATGATACTGAGTATATGTAAAATACTAAAATGGTAGTGTGTGTATATGTTTGTATATGTGTGTGTCTTCCCCTAGTTGTGCTGGAGATCAAACCCAAGGACTTACATGACAGTAAGTGTTCTACCACTGAACTACATGCCCATCCCAGCAGGACATATTTTAAATCTACCTTCAGGATGTCATAAAAGTTCAAAAGTGAAACATTTAATCTTTTTGTCAATATTGGCATAAAATAGTGGATATGATCAATATGACAGATATGATCTCTACTTCACAGCAACAGGAAAATCAAGTTTTAAAAAGTTAAATTACAAAAAAGAAATAAGAGTACTTGCCTCTCAGTATGATTAAAATTGATCAAGGTTTTTTCAACCTGACTGCAAAAGCAATCAAGGCATTGCTGGAATTAGATTACAAAAGACAAATTATCACATCAAATTGAATGTAACTGTTTCCTAAAAGTATACCTACAAGTTACAGAAAGTGCTTCCTCAAACACCATGACTAGCAATTGTCTGCCCTTCCTGAAATCATCATAATTTAACCTCCCAAATTCTTGTAACTAGACTAAATCCAAGACAAGCGAGAAGAAACTGCTGAAACTTTTAGAAGTGCTTTTCAAAAAAAACTTAAGTGTATATATGCATCCAACTGGAATGACAGAACAGGACAGGGAAATGGTCCATATAAAAAAAAAAATCATGTCTTAGGACTTTAAGGCCAGCCTGAAAAATATAGCTGTCTCAAAAAACAAAAGAAAGCAAAAATCACGTGTTATATAACCTCTCAATCCAACCTTTTAAATTATCTCCAAAAAGTCAAACAAAAAAGAACAAAGCAATCGACATACAAGCAATATATATATAAAAAAAAATATTTGAATGTAACATTTACCATTTTCTAAAAGGAGTGTTTCAGTAAAAACAAAGTAAGCGACATATAAGCAATATATACATAGATAGATGGATAGATAGGTTTGAATATAGAGAACATTTACCATTTTCTAAAAGGAGTAACCAGATGCACATCCCACCCTTTATTCAACGCCAATAAACTTTACAACGTTGTACACATTCATGCTAAGTATCTGGGTTCAGAAAATCGTTTCCTCTACATTGACAAAATCGTCATGCAGAAATGGGTGTCCTGACTTCACGAATTCTTGAAGTTCTGTCTGAATTTTAACTTTGCAAGGCAGAAGTTTTGGGTTCCTTTCCCAATCATCGTTATCCAAGTTCAACTGCAGGCAGGAAATTCTCGTTGCTTGCAGAGCTAGTTGTAAACTGTAACAATACAGTGTATTTTGGAAGTATTTGTTCACTTTAATATTTGCAATCCTTGTTTGTATTCGTTGGATGAAAAATGCCGACTGAAAAAGGTTACAAGGTATTTTCTTAAGACCTCAGCAGCCTCCCTAACCCAGAGGTTTTTTTCTTTAAACCTACCAGTGAAGAGGAAAATAAGAATCTGACACGGACAGGTTAGGAAACTGTCTCCTTTCCCTCTGTACCCTCATTTAAACCAAATTCCATAGAAACGACCTACCTTGGATGACGTGCTCTGGTGAGATAGTCTTCTTCTCTGATTTGTTGCAAATCTCATTGGCTTCAGATGATATAAGGTGGATGAATTCAGTGCAGCAGTTCACCACCAGCTCTCGGGCATCGTTGGCCACCCGGACATTGGGAAGAGTCTCTTTGATCATCTTATTGATAGCAGCTCTGGGGATAGTGAGATCATCATCGTTGCCAGATGAGGAAGCCATCGTACCTTCCTGTCTTTCCGAGCTCTGACTTTTAAAAACTCGCTGGCTCTGGTCCACTATTTCACAGAGACTTCTCAAAAAGGCCGCCTCCGATAATGATCCCCAGAGTACTCTTAGAAGAGGACAGAGAAAACGAGGAAGGGAGTACAACCGGGCTCAGCAGGGCGGAACACTAGACTCTTGACAGATTTAGGGAGAGTTTGAGAGGAAATGGGGGGAGGTAAGGACTCTGAGGAGACCACTGTCCAGCTTGCGGAGGGGACAGCAAGGTAGTCCGACAATCTGAGTGGCTGGGAACCACCTTCACGTCTTCTCAAAGGGGCGGGAGCTGTCGCCTAACCGGTCCTCGGCGCCGAAGCCGGGCAGGATCCGGAGGTACAAGCCTTGCCACGGCGCTGGGCGGACACCCAGCAGGCAAGGCTCTACAGAGCTCGAGCCCCAGCTGCCGCCCCCGCTAGCAGCCGTTGCCGCCGCCTCAGCCAAACCATCCTTCAGACACCCGCGCCGCCGCCTCACAACATGTCGGCCGCTACCACCGCTCGAACTGCGGCAGTCGCCTGGGAACGGCTATGAACAGAGCGAAGCACAAGGGAAGTTTCTGCGGCGGCCACCGTGGCAGTTTAGCCGGAAAGCAGGTCTTGGAAGCCGATGCGGTGGCTACGACGGTTCCTCCAGAGGCCAAGGAAGAAGGTTTGCTGGAAGTTGCTCCCGACACCCTTTGCGTCACCGGAAGTCTCGCTCCTTGGGTCCCAGCCTCCCTCCGAGGCCGACTTCCGGGCATAGCTACCGCCCTTCCCCCGCGGATGGCGGCGGGAACCGCCAGTCCTTGTCGCCAGCTGCTTCCGCTTCTGGAGGTCCCGCCACGCGCTCGGGGACGCCAGTCCCTTCCACAGGGTCTGCAGCGAGGTGACCGTGTGCCTAGCGAATTCGGAGTCTCCAGAACAGTTGCCACAGGACTGGGCGTTTTACAAAGAAAAGCAGCAAGGGTAGACAGAGGGTGGGTATTTCTGCCCTTCGGAGCCACCAGAGGCTTTAGAACCTCCATCTCCGTTGGAGGACAAAGGAACGCTGGATATTATTAGTACTTTATTACTCTTTTAGAACCCCGAATTGAAATTGAAAGCGAAGGGCTGGGGAGTTAGCGGCATAAGCGCCTGCCTTGCGAGCGTGTGGTCATGAGTTCGATCCACGGTACCGATAAAAAATTAAAATTTAAAAAAATTTAAAAGAAATTGAAAACGAGTGAAAGGTGGGACAGCGGTACTTACGTGCCTGTGTTTACCACGTTTGGTGAAAAGGCTTTTAAATAAGGATAGTGTAGATGACATTATTGTGAACAAAACTCTGTAGCCCTCCAACCAATTTAGTTTTTATGCGAAATGAAACCTTAGAGAGAGAGTAACTTGCTCACTACAAATGGTTAAGTCGAAAGCAAAAAGTCAGATGCTGCACAGTGAAATGCCTTGCATACGGTATTGCCCACTACAAGGTTCCAATTTATCCATTTTTCATGGTGCATTAAAGGATGGCTTTTGAAGAGCGGAAGGAGTATGTTGGAGCATCAGAAGTAACAGGCTTTTGTTCTTGAGACAGAATCTCGTATGTAGTTCAGGCCAGCGTTACACTCACTATGTAGCCCAGGCTGGCCTCGAACTCAGCAATCTCCTACCTCAGCCTGCAAGCGCTGGGATTACCACTCCGGCTAAGTACTGCTTTTTGCATTTTGCTACTAGTAATTCCAACAAGTGTCAGGTTCTTCACAGAAGTTACATTATTTTTGAAAACCGAAATTTTCCTTTGGAGTCATGCAAAAGAAGAGACTATGTTATAAGTAGTAGGATGTTGCAATTTCTAAAAAGTAAACCATAAATCACTTAAGTCCTTTTTGACCACTTCAGTTCATCAGATTAATTGATCATGTTTGGAATGTTTTCTTAAACCATTTGGTTTCCAGGAGACCTTACCGCTGTTTCTTTTGTAATGCTGAATATCAAACCCAGGGCAGCAAATATACCAGACAACTACCATTAAGCCAAACCCCCAGCCTTACATTATTTCCTTTAGTATTTTTTTTCAGACTACTCACTTTAATTCTAAATCTCAGGTTCTTTAATTTCTAAATCTCAGTCACCTGTTTTTCAGTGTTACTAACTGTGGTAGGTACCAAACTGCTTTGATAAAAATAGTGTTTTAAGTGTGGAGTGTGACACACACCTATAACCCCAGCACCAGGAAGGCTGAGGCAGAAGAATCAATGCGTTGGATCATGAGACCAATATGAACTACATTGTCAGAACCTATCTCAAAACAAGCAAATAATAAAGTCTTATTAACAATACAAATTTGGCCAGGTACTGTATGCCTATAATTCAGCGACTTCGGAAGGTGAGGCCAAGAGGCTCTCCAGTTTGAGGCTAGGCTAGGCAATACTGAGACTTTTGTCTCAAAGTTTAAAAAATAAAATGTAAAACAAATTTTTAAAAAAGGAACTAGTGATGTAGTTTAGGACTAAGGATGGATTCTTGCCTAGTGTGCTCAGGTTCTTAAGTTCAATCTCCAACACTGCAGAGGAAAAAGCTCTTGGCTTGTCTAGCAAAAAATTGAATCCAGAGTTGTCACATTATGACTGACCCAAATCATCTCTCTCCTGAAAAGAAATTTTTTTTGCTTTTTTATAATATTTCTGATTTATAGGAAAAAACCAATCAAAGAAGAAAATATGTCAGGAAAGATCTGAAAGAACCTAAGAAACCTAGTGTAAAATAGCTAATAGGGAGAGCCTTGCTAGGGGGTGAGATATGCTGGCCTGGTGGGAGACTGAAGTAGGAAGGTCAGCCAGGGCTACATAGTTACGGCCAGCCTGATTCAGAACGTGACCCTGCCTCAAAAAGCCTTAAAAAAAAAAAAAATCACAAGTAGTATCACTGAATTAAAACATCAAGTGGAAATCCACATGGAAAGAATTAAACAAGAATAAGAACCAGGCAGGAGAGAGTACCTTTTAAAAAAAAAAAAAAAAGGTAAAATAAAAGTCTGATAATAAAGGGAAAAGAAGTGAAAACAGCCTGAGGAGGAAGCAAAGTAGAGAAAAGATTGTAAATTCTAAAAGACTCCTGTAATTTAAGAAAAAGGAAACTGGGCGTGGTGGTGCACACCTGTAATTCTAGCACTTGGGAGGCTGACACAGGTGGATCCTAGCAAGTGAGAGACTAGCCTGAGTTACAAAGTGAGCTCAAGGCCAGCTTGAACTACATAGCAAGACCTTGTCTCAAAAAAAAAGGAGCCAATGGAGAGTAGATTAAAATACAGCAAAATAAAGTCTTAAGAAAATATAAGAAGATAAGATTGAAAAAGCACAAAATGATCAAAATTAATACAAATTTGAGCATATTTCACAGAAAAGTTAAAGCCAGGATTATAGGTACTGATGGCAAAGAGAGGTGAGCAGAATACAAAGGAATTCTTTATATAGAGAATGACCATAGGAAAATGGAATGATGAGAGAAATAGCAAAATCAATTGGTAAATTCACTGTCAAAAAAGTGGACACAAAACTGACCACATGGGGCTGAGGATTTAGCTCAGTGGCATAAGCACCTGCCTGGTAAGTTCAAGGTCCTGAGTTTGATCCCCGGTACCAAAAAAACCCCCACATTTTAGAAAAGTAGGAAGTAGCTAAAAGTGTTAAGTGTACAAATGAGAGAATAAATGGCAACAAGTGATATTCATTTAGTGATATTTGTATAAATGGTTTGTGAACAAACACCTTGAAACTCTTTCATCTGGGGCTTGTCTAATCTTTATTAATGCTCCTAATCCTTGGACAACATGATATTTTACTGTCTTTTTTTTTTGGACTAGGGATCAAACTCATTACCTCCTACTTGCCAGGCAGGTGCTTATGCTGCTGAACTAAATCCCCAGCTCTCCTTTCTTTCATCTGTTAAGTTAAAACTGATAAATTTCACCCAGGCTTGGTGGCACACACCTGTTAATTCCAGCACTCAGGAGGCTGAGGCAAGAGGATCATTGTGAATTCAAGGCCAGCCTGAATTGTAGAGTGAAACCCTGCCTTGAAAAGACCAGAAACAAAAACACAAAAAAAGCTGAAAATTTTCCGTAGATCTATTAATAAGAATTTAAAAAAAAAACTTTTTCCACAGGTCAACTGCAATTTACTCAAAAATTTAAAGTTGAATAACAAATCATTTAAACTATACAAAATAAATTTAAAATAGAATACAAATATTTTATTTCAAGTGACATGAATTTTAAATCTAATTCAGTCCTGTTCATTTTGTTTATTTTGTTTGCTGAGGCAGGAGGATCAAGTTCAAGACCAGTCTGGGAAACTTGGTAAGACTGTCTCAAAAAATAAAACATTGGGGATGTACATGGGTATGAAGGCCTCAGGTTCAACCCAGCAGTCAGCAGCACTGGATTTATATAGATATAAAGCATTTGCAGCAAACAACTAGAAAAATCTATAAATTCCATTTATTCATTCATTGTTTTCCTTCAAAAAATGTTTATTGGGTGTCTGTCATATACTTAGCTAAGTACTGGAGATATGGAAGGATGGAATAATAAACAAAATGGATAGGTAATGTTTATTGCCTGTTGCCTGAAGAAATAATACCAAAGAAAGAAAAAAATCACATTGATAATATGTAAAAAGTAATTTATAAAGCAGTTAAGAATTATAGTAAATCTATTTGAAGAATTTAATAAATCCATTAAAATACTTGTGAAGATTAAGTATGAACATGCTACTTTTCCTTTAATAATAAAGCAAAATAAATCTTTGTTCTTAGAATTACATATGAATACACATAAGCACAAATACAGGCTCAATAGAAATATAAGAATTAACATAGATGTATTGAAATAAAAATTTATTTTTCCTTAATTTAAAATTTTTATATTAATCTTTTAAAATGTCATATTTATTTTAAAACTAGCAAACTATGAAAAATATAATTTCTACTGATTTATAAATATGTCCCTTCTTAGCTAGGCATGATGGCACATACCTATAATCCCAGCACCCAGGAGGCTGAGGCAGGAGGATTGCTGCAAGTTCAAGGACAGTTTGGGTTACAAAGTGAGTTCAAGGCCAGCCTGAACTGCACAGCAAAACTGTCTCAATAACACACACACACAGTCACTTCTCCATATTCACAGTAGGACTTGTAAAAGCAAGCATCCTTGAATTTTAGATTTTTCTTTAAGCTAGGAAAGCTCTCAAATTGGTCATCTTCAGGTAAGCTTTAACCCACAAGTATTGTTATCAGTTATTTATTGCCACAAAAATGCTGTCTAAGGAGTTACATCAAAGGTCAGTGAACTAAAACAATAAGTCATACTATGTCTTTGGAGTCTATACATTTATTGGGTAGGTCTTCTGGGATATTTTCGGAGTTCACTATGGGTTGGGTAGGTAGGTAGCTTTATTGATTTTGGTGAACTCACGTGTTTAGGGGACTAGCTGGCTGTCATCAGATCTAAAAAGACCTTGTTTCTTTTCCATTGGCTCTTTTTTTTTTTTTTTTTTTTTTTTTTTGGTACTGGGGATCAAAGTCACAACTCATGCTTGCCAGGCAGGCACTTAGGTCACTGAGCTAGGCTTCCTGGCTCTTTCATGTTTTTCTAGCAGGAACACTTGCATGTTTTCATGATGAAGCAGAAACTATTTCCTTTAAC